CTTCAGCTCAGGTCATGATCCCAGAGTCCTGGGATTGAGCCCCGCATCGGGCTCTCTGCTCAGCAGGGAGGCTGCTTTCCTCTCTCTCTCTCTGCCTGCCTCTCTGCCTACTTGTGATCTCTATCTGTCAAATAAATAAATAAAATCTTTTTAAAAAATAAATAAATAATAAAAATAAAATGGGACATTTGTTACCACTGAGGAACCAATATTGATATATTATTATTAACTAAAGTCCGTAGTTTACATTAGGGCTCACTCCTCACATCGCATATTCTGTGTGTTTTGGCAAATATATAAGTATACACCACTGCTGTGTCATACTGAATGGTTTGGCTGCCCCGAAATCCCTGTGCTCCCCCATTCATGCCATCCCACATCCACTTTGGATGGCATGAATCTATCCCTTTGGAATTCCGTCCCATTCCATTTCCATCCAACTGGAAAGCACTGATCTTTTTACTGTCTCTATAGTATTACTTTTTTCAGAATTCCGTATAGTTGAAATTACACACTATATAGCCTTTTCAGACTGGCTTTTGTCACTAAGCACTGCGCATTTCCATGGTTTCTCCATGCCTTTTTATGGCTTGATAGCTCATTTCTTTTTATCACTATTATTTTATTGTACAGATGTACCACAACTTACCTATCCACTTACCTCTTAAAGGACATCTTGGTTGCTTCCAGTTTGGGGCAATTATGAATAAGAATGCTATAAACATGTAAAAATAAATGAGTCTTAAAACTCAACAATAAAGAAACAGACAACCCAGTTTACAAATGGGTAAAAGATATGAATAGACGCCTCACCAAAGAAGATACACAGATGGCAAAGAAGCCTATGTAAAGAGCCTATAGTTTTCTTCATATAGATCTTTATATATTTTGTTAGATTTTTACCTAATTCTTTCTATCTATCTGGTCTTTCTTTCTTTTCCCTTTTTCCTTTTTTCTTTCTTTCCTTTTTTTTTTTTTTTTTTTTTTTTGGTGCTAACATAAATGGTGTTATGTTTTTAATTTCTTTTTTTTTTTAATTTTTAAAGATTTTATTTATTTATTTGACAGAGAGAGACACAGTGAGGGAGGGAACACAAGCAGGGGGAGTGGAAAAGGGAGAAGCAAGTTTCCTACAGAGCAGGGAGCCCTGATGCAGGTCTCAATCCCAGGACCCTGAGATCATGACCTGAGCTGAAGGCAGACGCTTAACGACTGAGCCACCCAGGTGCCCCATGTTTTTAATTTCTAATTCCAGCTGTTCATTGCTGGTATACAGGAAAGCAATCAACTTTTGTATATTAATGTTGTATCTTGCAGCCTTCCTATAATTGCTTGTTAGTTCTAGGAGTGTTTTTGTTGATTCTTTGGGATTTTTTACCTAGGCAATCATGTCATTTGCAACCAGAGACAGTTTTACTTCTTCCCTCCCAATCTATGTACCTTTTATTTCCTTTTCTTGTCTTATTGCATGTCCTGGCTAGGATACCATACTGTGTTAAAAAAGAGTATGAAAGAGGACATCCTTGTCTTGTTCCTGATCTTAACGGGAACATTTCTAGTTTCTCACCATTAAGTGTGATGTTAGCTTTAGGATTTTTGTAGATGTTCTTTATCAGGTTGAGGCAGTTCCTCTCTATTCCTAATTTGCCAAACGTTTTGTGGTTTTGCTTTTCAATAATGAATAGGTGTTGAATTTTGTCAAATGCTCTTTCTTCATCTAGTGATATGATCATGTGACTTTTCTTCTCTAGCCTGTTGAGATGATAGATTACATTAATCGATTTTCAAGTGTTGACCAAGCATTGCATACCTGCATTCTTGCTTGTGGTGTACAATTCTTTGTATACATTGTTAGATTCAATTTGCTAATATTTTGTTGAGGATTTTGCTTCTATGTTCATGAAAGATATTGGTCTGAAGTTTCTCTTGTAATATCTGTGTCTGGTTTTCAATTTCTCTGTTCTGGAAGAGGTTGTAGAGAACTGGTATTATTTTTTTCCTTAAGTGTTTGATGGAATTCACCAATGAATCCATCTGGGCCTGGTGCTTTCTGTTTTGAAAAGCTTTTAATTATTTTTTTAAAAGATTTTACTTATTTATTTGATAGACAGAGATCACAGGTAGGCAGAGAGGCAGGCAGAGAGAGAGGGAAGCAGGCTCCCTGCTGAGCAGAGAGCCCGATGCAGGGCTGGATCCCAGGACCCTGGCAGAGGCTTTAACCCACTGAGCCACCCAGGTGCCCAAAAGCTTTTAATTATTGATTCAAATTCTTTAATAGATGTGGGCTTCTTCAGATCATTTGTTTCTTCTTGTATGAGTTTTGGTACATTGTAGCTTTTGAGGCGGTGATCAGTTTCATCTGAGTTATCAAATTTGTTGGCATAGATTTATTTATAGTGTTCCTTTATTAGCCTTTTAATATTTATGGTATCAGCAGTGATGGTCTCTTTTTCATGTCTGATTTTAGTAATTTGTACCCTCTCTCTTTTTTTCTTGGTTAGCCTACTAGAGTCTTGCCAATTTTATCGATGTTTTCAAAGAATCAACTTCTGGTTTCATCGATTTTTCTCTATTATTTTCAAATTTTTTAATTTCATTCATTTCTGTCCTAATTTTTTCTTCTGCTTGTCTTGGGCTTATATTGCTCTTCATTCTCTAATTTCTTTAAGTGGAAGCTTAGATTATTGATTTTAAGTCTTTCTTTTCTAATATATGCATTCTATGCTATAAATTTCCTTCTAAGCACTGCTTTCCTGCCTCCCACAAATTCTAATAAGTTGTATTTTAATTTGCATGTGCTTTCATTTCATTTAGATCATTTTTTCTTTTTCCTAAAGCTTCTTCCTTGACCAAATGCTGCTTAGAAGCATGTTGTTTAATGTTCAAATACTCTGGAATTTTCAGCCATCTTTCTGCTATTGATTCCTAGTTTGAATCTCTCATAGGCTGAGAGCATGCTTTGTATGACTTCTGTTCTTTTAAATTTGAAATTTGTTATGTTTTGTGGCTCAGAATGTGGTCTCTCTTGGTGAATGTTCTATGTGAGCTTGTGCACAATGTGCATTTTGTTATTATTTGGTGACGCAATCTATACATGTCGATTAGATGCAGGTGACTGATGGTGGTCCAGTTCAGCTTTATCCTCACTAATTTTCTGCATATCTGTCCATTACTGATATAAGGATGTTGAAGTCTCCAATGGTCATAATGGATTTGTCTGTTTCTCCTTAAACTTCTATCACTTTCTCTCTCACTTATTCTGATGTTCTATCTTCAGGCACATACCGTTAAGGATTGTTGCGTCTTCTTGGAGAACTGACCCCTTTATCATCATATGTAATGCCTCTCTTTACCCTGGTAACGCTTCTGGCTCTGAAGTCTGTTCCATGTGAAATTAACATAGTTCTTCCTGCTTTCTTTTTGTGTTTCAATATTTTAAGTACCCAAGTGTATGATAAAAATTTGCAATGTAGTTAAGAACACAGACATTTGAATCAAGCAAATCTGAATACAAGACAGGCTAGCCAAGCTGGGTGACTTTGGGCAAATTAAATTATTCTGTGCCTCAGTTTCCTTATCTGCAAAATAGAGAACAATCCCTTTTGATTATTGTGTAGATGAAATGGAATAATGCAGTAGCGCAGACTTCCTGGCATGTAATGTTAAATTAATATACTCTATTAATATAAGTTATATTACTATATAATAATATAAACTATATAATATAAACTGTTATTATATTATTGATACAAGCTATTGATATCATTGTATCATGGGACTTTACACTTGTCTAAGTGCAAATACTCTTTCTATGAATGTCAGATGAGGCACTCCGAGAAGATAAATTTAGAAACTAATTGCCGGACGCCTGGGTGGCTCAGTTGGTTGGGCAGCTGCCTTCGGCTCAGGTCATGATCCCAGCGTCCTGGGATCGAGTCCCACATTGGGCTCCTTGTTCTGTGGGGAGCCTGCTTCTCCCTCTGCCTCTGCCTGCCACTCTGTCTGCCTGTGCTCGCTCTCTCTCTCTTTCTGACAAAAAAAAAAAAAAAAAAAAAAAAATCTTTAGAAACTAATTGCCAAATCTCAGGCCGGGGTAGATATCTAACAGACACAGTGTCCTGAAAGGAGAAAGACTTCACATGTGCCCTGCAGCCACAGTCGAGAGCCCCACGCCCCAGGAATGTAGTATTTCCTCCTGCGTGCTAACCTTTGCTCACTCTTCTGACCAAAAGAAAATTACAGAGGAGCCTTCTGCCTGGCATTGCCAACTCACAGACACACCGTCTGGGCACCGTCTGGGCTAGAGTCCCTTTCTTTCTGGACAGGTAGTCACACCTGGCCCCCTACTGAAAAAGCAGATCATCACTGATGAGATAAATTCTGAGCAGCTTTTAAGAAGCAGTAGAAATGACTAATCGCATGGGAAAACCTTCATTGCATGCCAAGGTTTTGTAAAAGTAGTTATAAAACTGTATGTTATGTGGTGTGATCTCAGTTTTGTTTGAGCTTTTTAAAAAGCTTGTAAGCACAGACAGAGGGCTGGAAGGAAGTGAACCACAGTGTTAACAGTGCCCGTCTCTGGGGGATGGGAGCCTAAGTGGTTTTAATGTCTTCTTTGTGCTTTTCTCCAATTCTCATTTTCTATAATATTTTTTAAAATGTTATTTTTATAAAATGAAAGTGGTCAACTCCCTGCCCAGAATATGTGCTCATTCAGACTCCCCTCAGTTCCCTTTGCCTCTGTGCTGCCTGATCCCCCCACCCCACAATGTGGGAACCTTCTCTGGGTCTGGAGTCAGAGACCACATCCCCAGCCCCATCGCACACTAACCATGTGGACTTGGTCAGGCCACTTCACTTCTCTGACTCTGAACATCATCGTTTTTGAATGAGGGTTGTGGTGACCAGCCAGCCAGGGAAGGGACTTAGCACCTTCTGGTACCATAGTCCCTAGTAGATGTGGGGGCCCTGGCTACAGCTGTCTTCCTTCTGTATTTCAGTCTGCAGACATCGACAACCATCATGCACTTATTGAATATAATGAGGCCGAGGACAGCTTTGTTCTCCAGGACTTCAATTCCCGAAACGGCACCTTTGTCAACGAGTGCCACATTCAGAATGTGGCCGTGAAGCTGCTGCCAGGAGACATCCTGAGATTCGGGTCCGGAGGGCTGACCTACGAACTTGTCATCGAAAACGCTCCCTCGGTGAGTCCAGGCCCTTGCAGGGTAGAGGCCAGAGGTGCGGTGTCCTGTCGCCTTCTGTGCATCCAAAGGGTGGTGCTTGTCCACAGCGTACCAACCGGATTTCATGCTGGGCCCACAAGTGACCTTGACCTACTGGATGGTACAAGGTTCACACCAATCCAGGCGGATCCTGGTGGGTGTGTGCATCTTAGCGCCCTCTTCTGGGTATTTCCTGGAATGACATGTAAGAGTTGCACAGGGGCCAACCCAGAGCCATAGCGTTCTTCTGAAAATGCAAACCTTGGTTAGGGCAAGAGGAAAGAAAACTCAGAGATGGATGCTTCTTTTTACGCAGATCAGCGCTCTGCAGCTTCCTTACTTTGCCATCAGCCAGGGTTCTTTATATGCCTGGGTCTTGCTCCCCGATGATGCGCAGCACTCAGAGGAGATCTATCTGTAGAGCGTGAAAGTCAGTGTCGGCCTGGAGCAGAGACTCAGGGCACGGCAGCTGTTACCATACCCTGAGCAGAAATGTCCTTGGGATCCTGACCTATAATATGGTCAGTTTAAGCAAAATGCAATACAAAACTTCCCCGTTAAAGCTCAGTCCCACGGAAGACACAATTCACGGGGGAGGCAGGCTGGGGTGGGGTGAGGGTGAGGGAGGTTAACCGCTCAGGCTTTGGTCAGAATCCCAGCATACTCTGGAGTGCTCCTGGGCAAGCCTCTGGAGCCCCCAGAACCTCCCATTTCCTCCACAAAATGGGGCCAGTGACAGCCATGACCTTGCAGGTTCACCTTGAGGGTGGAAAGAGATTATTATAATCGTAAAACTAGCACGGTGCCCGTTCACGGTGGGCACACAATTAGTATCTGCCATGTGTGTCCCAGAGAGATGGCGTCTTTGTCTACTCGCCGCCCCCAAGAACGCTACATGGACTGGGGCCTCCAAGGCTTAAAAGCCTTTCCGGGACAAGGCTGGGTATAAATAAATCAAGTTTAGAGGATCGAGACAGACTCCTGGGGTTTTGAGCCCATAGGCAGCCCTAATTGCGCACCCCAGAAAGACGGATGGCATCCCCCAGGCTGCATGGGCCCTGATGCCACATGCATCACATCTGGCTTTGAAGATGTGGGGCAGACTTTTCGGCTGCTGCCTTATCCTCCTTAGACCGTTAAAGTTTGTTTGCTTATGGTATGCACCAAGGTTCTGAGGCAGCACTGAGGGGGGCTCCTGACCCAGAAGGTGTTGACGCGATCAAGAGTTCTCAACATGGATAATAAGGATCCCCCGCCCCCACACACCCACATCAGAACCCTGTGGGGAGCAGACCAACAATGCACATTCCTGGGCCTCACCCGAGCCCAGGGACTCATACTTAAGGTTGACAGAAAAAAACACAGGACACCCAGTTAAAGCTGAATTTCAGATAAACTACAAATAATCTTATAGTATAAGTATGTCTGAAATATTGCAAGGGATTGCTTATGCTAAAGAAATTATTTGGTATTTGTCTGAAATTCAGAGTTAATTGGATACCCTGTATTTCATTTATATATATATTTTTAATCTATGCATTTATTTATGTTAAATCTGGCGACCCTACACAGCCTCCCTGGGAGTGGGAATATGCATTTTCCCAGGCTCCTTGGTGATTCTGATGTACCTCCTACAGAAGAAAAACCTAAATATGGAACCCCTTGTCTAGAGCATTTACAGATTTTTTTTTTTCAGGAACCAAAGAAAATGGAGTTTCAAACCCCAAGCCTGTAAATCCAAGTTTGTGAAGTTTGAGTCAATGTTTCTCAAACATGTCTGATTATAAGAATGTTTCTGGAATGTCCAACAAAATTACAGGTTCCCAAGCCCCCCTGCCTGGGAAGTTCTCATTTTGTGGCTTGCCAGAAGGGGAAAGGGTGATAATGTCTGCATGTTTTTCATACAAAGATATTTATGGAAATATTATTTATAGGGACACAAAAATTGAAACCTAAATATCCATCAGAAGGGGGCACTGTCTGAAAAAAAAATACGAGAGTTTGTTCGTATATGGAAAACTGTTGTTTTTTTAAAAAATAGCTTTATGGAGGGTGCCTGGGGGCTTAGGCAGTTAAGCGTCTGACTCTTAATCTCAGCTCAGGTCTTGATCTCTGGGTCGTGAGTTCAGGCCTCACATTGGGCTTCAAGCTGGGCATAGAGCCAACTTACAAAAAGGGGGGGAGGGAGCAACTTTATGGAGATATGACTGACATACAATCAGCTGCACATGTTTAAAGGTTATATAATCTGATGGGCTTTGACCCACGTGTGCACTTGAATAACCATCGCCACGGTCAAGACGGCGGCCATACTCGTGGCCCCCAAAAGGTTCCTCGGGAACACGACATTTGTTTGCTTGCCTCCGGTTTACATAACATAAACTTCATTCATGGTAAGCCTATGATTCAGCCCATTTTTGTATGATTTTTAAAAAACATTTTATGATTTACTTGAGAGACAGAAAGAGCACAAGCAGGGGGAGTGGGAGAGCTGAGCAGGAAACCAGATGCAGGACTCAATCCCATCTTGACCTGAGCCGAAGGCAGAAGCTCAACCGACTGAGCCACCCAGGCGTCCCCCGGTTTTGTATGTTTACGGAGCTGGCCATCACCACAACCTCCTTTCAGAACGTTTCCATCCATTTCTGTTCCTCCCCGCAAAAAACCTGGGAGGTACTTAGGGTCTTTTGTTGTTGTTGGTTTTAACTTTTAATTTTCTTTTTAAGATTTTATTTATTTCTTCATGAGAGACAGAGGGAGAGAGGCGGAAGGAGAAGCGGGCTTCTCAATGAGCAGGGAGCCCGATTCAGGACTCGATCCCAGGGCTCCAGTATCATGATCTGAGCAGAAGGCAGATGCTTAACCATCTGAGCCACCCAGACGCCCTTTAATTTTTAATTTTAAAAATTGTGGCCAAATACTGAAAACATTCACCCCCATAACGGATTTTAAGTTTATAGTTCCTCGCCGTTACATTCACATGGTTCTACAGCTGTCCCCAGAGCACCGTTCATCTTCCCAAACTGAAACTCTGTGCCCATTCAATAAAAACTCCCTCCTCCTTCCGCTCCCAGCCCCCATTCTTTCTGTCTCTCTGAATCTGACTGCTCCAGACCAGCCGTGTAAGTGAAATCTTACAGTGTTTATCCCTTTGGGACTGTCTCGCTTCACTTATGTAGTATTGTGTCCTCGAGGTGCATACGTGTTGTAGCAGGTGTCAGAATCCCCTTCCTTTTTGAGTAAGGGGATCCTTTTGAGCCGAGGAATATTCCGTCGTGTGTCTACATCACGTTTTGTTGAGCCATTTGTCCATCCATCCATCAATGGCTGCCCCCACCTTTTGGCTATCATGAGTAAGAATGTGATGCGTACAGGTGTATAAGTATGGAAGGGGTACTTCATTTTACGAGATGCTTCTGATATCGGATAAGCGCAAGAAACAATGATCAAGACCTTGAACCTTGGCTACAGAAGAGGACGCTTTGTAAAAAGAGAAATCAGTAGAGTAGCAGGAGTCACTGATATGAACAAAACTATGCTGTGATTTGCCTGCTCGCCCTTATTTAACACTCATGACAATCTATGGGGTGGGTTCTCTCATGATCCCCATCTTACAGACAAAGAATCCAAAACCCAGAGAGGTTAAGTAATTTCCCCAGCGTCACACAGCTGGTCAATGAAGAGTTAAGCTCTATCCCCACTTGTGGGGAACAGAGAGAAGAAAACCACTTAATCTAATGCTAGCCAGAGCAGTATCCCCGACTGGTTTCCAAAGGGAGCAAAAAACACTTTTGTGGTCACTTGAATATACACACATTTCTTAAAATTCTTATTTCTACAAGCTTTTGTGTCCCACTTAATTCCCCAAGTGACGGCAAGGAACTGCACAAATGTTCCCCTGGCCTCCCTGCTTTCTCAGGGAGCCATCTTACCCCCACAGGACTCGCCCCTCATCCGTCCTCCCCAAAGTGCTCTCTGCTCAGAGATTTCCTATATTGAGGGACTTTCATGCATCCTCTGAGGTCTTATTAATGGAGGGGTCCTCTGCGGGGCCTGGGGTGAGGGTAGCCTTGTGGACTGGAAAGAGGGAGAGGAGGGAGGGAGGACGGGAGGAAGAGAAGGTAAGGAAGGGCATCTATCATTTAATACTTTGAGGTCCAGCCTTTCTAAGAAATTTGCGGCCATCTTGATTGCTATGCTAGCGTTTCTGACTGGTTTTTTGGGTCCCAGGTGAGGGCACTGTGTTTCCCCCCATGAAGTTTTCAAGGAGAATCATCATGAAATCAAAAGGGCTGGGCGTGGTCAGAACTATTCCCTTCCTGACAACGAGTTCCCAAAGGAAAACATTTATTTCAGGCTTTGTGGTGGTCACCATAACCAATCAGTAGGGACGTGACAGCCTTTTCTTGGGGGTGGGGGGGTGGGGAGGTGGGGGGGAAGGTCGGGATGGGTTAGGGGGCCACATGTGTTAGCAGCTGTCACGGTGGGGGGGGAGTGTGCATCCTGGTGTGGCTCCCCAAGCACAGTCCCAGCCCTGCTCTTATGCTCTGGGCTTGTGCCCACGTCACCTGACTCTCACACCTTGGTTCCCACTGCTGTAAACTCAGGGAACTAACAGTCCCTACCACGTGAAGTTACCGTGGCATTAAGAGCGTAATGTATGCAAATCCCTTGGCTCAGCCTCCCGCCCCTCTGACAAGCTCATGGTAACTCTCAGCTCTAGAATCAAGCAAACAAGCACCGTGGCAACCAGGATACCTCCTCTGGGAGTGTTCCTTTAGCCAGAAAACCTCCCAAGACCTCCCCAGCCAGCAGATGGATACACGTGCATATAAATTACCTGTGGGATGACATCCAAGATGAAAAACTGCCCCCCAAATCCCTCTTGGTTGACGAAATACATTGGCACCTGCCCCCAAGGATATATTCTGGAACATGCTTTGTAAATCATAGCTCTTTCACCAAAATCTAACCTAGGGCCA